CTTCCTCCCGTCGCGATTTTTCACAGCGCGAGAGGGTCTGGGAATGACCCCGTCGAGGGGGTACCACAAGGCCGAGATGCACTGGATATGTATGAAAACCGAGCCTCTACGGGACCAAATTTCTATCCATATCCAGTGCGCCTCGAGTTTCTGGGGAAGGCAGGGAGTTCTTCATAGTTCGACCGTGAAGCCTAGCTAGAACCTAAGCGCTCGCGGAGCGCGCGCGTGGTTCTAGTGTGTATATATATACATCTATGTGTATATATGTATGCGTGTATACATGTGCGTACGCATGTGTAAACATGCATGTGTGTATGTGTAGGTGTGTATATATATATCTATATGTATACTACATGTATAGACACATGTACATGCATGTGTAGATGTCTGCGTTTGTAAATGTGTATGATAATGCGTATGTGTACGTGTCTGATGCGTATATACTTATGTTTATGTATAGTCAAATGCGCGTGCATGTTTATGGGTACATATATATGTATATGTATGTATATAAATACATGTTCGTATACGTGCGCATGCAAACATATCTATTTGCACACATATATATATAAGTGTAGAATACGTGTGTATACATATTTTTATATATGTATATATATAATGTCTGTTCACATGCATGCGTGCAAGCATGAATGCTTGCATGCATCCAACATTATATATGTATATACAGACGCATGTTCGTGAACAGTTTATGTATATACACATACAGAAGACTGCATTGGGGTTTCGCGTCATGCGCCTTTTTTCTGGGCCCTCCCCGGCAACACAGTAAATCATCGCTTGCTTCAGCAGGGGGAAACTCGAGGCCTGGACGGGCGACCGGCTCATTTTGCTGACATCCCTGGTGCCTGCTGGCACCGCGTACGCCCGATGCGCTTGCACGCTTGCGCGCAGGAGTGGGGAAGGAATGCGGATGTTTTCACGCGCGAAGGTCCTTTTAGGAAGTAAGGAGCGTTCCCATGACACGCCGAAGAAGTCGCAATAGCTCCGAACAGATGCCTGTATTTTTTGGTCGCTTCCTGAATGCCGGGAGGACTCCAAGGCACTCTGGAAATCTTCGATCGTCGAGCTTTGAATCTCGATCTATTGCTTGTCTCTCTCGATCGAGGAACTTAAACCTCGAGCCTCATGCGTGGAACCAAGATCGTCGGGTCAGCTCGATGTACTTCGAAGGAGAGCGCCGTCTGGGCGTTTTTGGCAGTCTTTTGGGGCGTCCTGGGGCTTTCTTGGGCCGTATTGGGGAGCTGGGGCCCTCCAGAGGTCTTCTGAGGCCATCTAGAGCCCTTTTCGGGGCCTCCAGAGGCCTTTTTGGGGGTTTGTCTCCCATGGATTTCGTGGGTCTCTCTTGGGGGCCTTTTGGGGGCATCTTGGGCTTCTTGTGGGCAGTCTCGGGGCTCTCTGAGGCAGTCTTGGGGCCCTCTAGGGCCGTCTTCAAACTCTCTGGGGGGCCTCGTAGGCCATCTTGTGGCGATCTCGGGGGCCCATCGAGCCTCTTGGGACGCTGCGAAGACCGAAGACCCAGAAAACGGATATGCTATATGCTTCTATACATATATATATATATATGTGTGTATATATATATGTGAGGGAATGGGACAATGTTTGCTGCTTTGGGGGCTTTCTTGACGCCGTCTTGGGGCGTCTTGGAGGCCTCTTGGGCCGTCTTCAGACCGTCGAGGTTCCTCCTGGAGCGATCTTGTGCTGTTTTGGGTCTCTCTTGCGCCTCTCCGATGACCCTCCTTTCCGATCGTCTTGGGTCTTCTCGCAAGGCCCGGCAAGGCGCCCTGGGAAGCCCAGGAGGGCCAACGGACTTTTTCCAAGGGCGTACTGGGGCCGCCGAGACGTCCGAAAGGGCGTCCGGGGCGTCCCTGGGGGGGAGGGCTCCGGATTCCGGGTGGGGGGATGGGTGGGGGGTGGGGGTCCCCGTTATATATATATATATATATATATATATATATATATATATATATATATACACAAATAGGAATAGGAATCGGAATAGGAACATGATTATATATATATATATATACACGTGCGCGAACGTGTTCGATTCGGACGTGTGCCTCCAAGGGGGGCGCGCATCGTGCGAGTATGTGTTTCTGCGTCCGGCCCTGTCGCCCTGCCCCACCCCCACCTTGCGCGCCGCCCACATCCGGGATGCTACACCTCGAACTGCCCGACGTGCTCGGGGGAACCGTGCATTTCGTGCGTCCACATGAAGGACCAGCGGTGCAAAGCCAGACCGCACCCCCAGCGCCCCCCCTAGGGCGGTGCGGCGCCTCCCCTCCTCCCAGCCCTCCCCCCTTCCTCCCCTCCGCAGTCACAATGACAGGTGGCACGTGCGTGCAAGATGCGTCTGCGTGTGGGTGTGTTATTTGACATGGTGTGACTTGTGGTGTGTGTGTGTGTGTGTGTGCTGTGTGTGCTGTGTGTTGTGTGTTGTGTGTGCTATGCGTGAAGTGTTTGAGTTTTGCGTGCCATGTGTGGCCCATGTGTTGTGTGTCTGTTGTCTGTGCATGTGTGCGATGCGCGTGTAGGGTGTGTTGGGTGTGTGTTGTGTCAGTTGTTCGTGCGTGCGCGTGTGTGTATGTGTGTGTGTTTGCCCTCTATGTGTGTTCTGTGTGGAGTATGTGCTGTGTGTGTGTTCTGTGTGTTATGTGTAGTGTGTTGTGTGTAGTGTGTGCGTGTGTTCTCTGAGTACCCTTCGGCCGTTGGAAGTATGTATTTTTGGACATTCAAATTCCAAGTGACTTTGGGTGCCTTCCTATTTCAATAATCGAACGGTTGTCCCTCCTCCCTCCTCTTCAGGGGGGAGCAGACATCCAATCCTTTTCCAAGTCCTTTCTACTAAATGTTTTCACTCACTTCTTCCGACCGATGGGAAGTCGGTGTGTTGTACAAGATCGGTGTTTGATGCTGGGCGAGACTGTTTTTGTTGCTGGTGTTCTTTTAAGAGCCGTGTTCAAAAGGGGCTCGATGTTTTGGAGGACGTGTCAGGCGAAACTCAATGTTAGTAAGATGGTGCTCGACATCATTGAACACCTATTTGCTTTGGAAGGTTCTAAGTTCGAATGTTGAAATGCCCATGTGTTTTTGGACCGTGACGTCGCACCTGCGTGAGGGGCGTGCCCGATTTTCATAAGTTTGAGGTTGTCCCAAGCGAAACTGCCAAAATCATTGCGGACTGGGCTAATTCATTGCTTTCGAGCTCTGCTCCCTCGGAAGGTGTGTATGAGAACACATGATGGGTACTACTTTCCTCTCCCTTGATTCTTCTGTCCAGATGATGTCCGGCCCCGCATTGTTTTCTTACGCGCAGGATTCAGACGTTTGAGTGTTATTACGTTTTGTTTTGCCATCCAGTAGGTGTCGGAGTTTCTGTACGGTGCTTCCGCTGCAGCGTGGGTCTTATTTCCGGGTCGACGTTATGCTCGCGTCGTTCAGAAAGGCGGTCTCACCCCAGCGCGGGCCGCTTTTCTGGATCCGAGTCCTTTTCATCGATGTCGCCCCCTTCATTTCCTTTCCTCCCCCTTCCCCTGGTCCTCCTGCTCCTCCCGCGTCTTCCACTGCAGCTCCCGCTGCTGCTGCTCATCCTCGTTTTCCTCCTTCCTCATCCTCCTGCTCTTCCTCCTGCTCATCCTCCTGCTCATCGGCCACCCCCCTCTTCCCCCTCCTCCAATGCAACGCAGCTCCCATTTGCCGATTGCGGATAACATGATGGGATCTTTGGGGGAGTTGCAGGTCCGCTAGGCTATGACACGCGCCCGTTGATAGAGACAAGTCAGCGCAACGGGAAGGGATGGCAGGAGGGGATAGGATGTCAAAGATGGCGCGAGCGAGCCACGCTTGTCCCCCCTTCCCCCCCCCCGTCCCCCCTCCTCCCTCCTCGCGGGGAGGGGGGGGTTCAGCAGGACTAGCAGCAGTTGGCGCAACCAGCTCCCGTGAGAGCAGGAAGCCAGAATGCAGGGCAGCCTGCTTGTGGCAGGAGGCCTGGGCCGCCCTCGAAAAGTCAGTGCGGAAGAGAAGACCCTGGGTCGCAGGCCTAGAGGTTGACACCAACACCAATTTCGTAGGTGTGCATACACCGAGGGAAGAAGATCCCGATCCCAGTGATGGTGGTAATATTCTAGCTTCCAAGGTGGCCCAAATATTACCACCAACACCGAAATCTAGGATCATCTTCCCCTTGTGGAGAAAACCCCCTGTGTTGGTGTTGGTGCCCATTTCTAGGCCTCCAACTGGGGACCCTAACCTTCAGGAGCGCGCCCCATCAGGCCTCAGCCCCTTCCTGGCAGGGCATCCCGGGCAGACAAAAAACACGCAGGGTGTGCCAGCTGAGCCGCAGCAGGGGTCCCTCGAGCGCCAGTCCGGGAAATCCGCGCGGACCTCCGAAAGTTTATTATGTGCAGTTCTTGCTTTCTTCTGACCGAGGCATGCTCATGCTGCCTCTACGCGTTGGCGATGCCTGCGTGGGCGTTCAAAGTTGAAGAGCCTCTGGGGGCTCGGTTTGGTCCAGGGGCCCGCAGGAAGCAGTCCATTGCGCGGCATCCATGCGAAAGATTAGGCAAAGGTAGCCCCAAGGCTTGCCCTCCGCGGCGCGGAACCGTTCAATGTTGACCAGGACACGCGTCGTCAACGCAGGAGCCTGCAGTAGAAGCAGAGGGATAGTCGGGGGCGGGTTGGATGCGGCTACGGAGGGGAGGACGGAGGAGCGGAAAGGAATCCACGTGGTTCATTCGCAGGGCGCGCAGATCGTCGCGCTTCGCGCGTCACGGTCTGGGGCAGACCAGCTGCCAGTCTGCATGGGGGTGGCGCAAGGGCGCGAAGATTGTCGCGGGGCGCGATGCGCGAAGTTGGTTGACCTAGGGGGTGGGGGGCCGTTGATTAGGGCGGGGAGTGCGAGGCGAGGAGGAGGAGGAGGAGCAGGAGGAGGAGGAGGAGGGAGCAGGAGGAGGAGGAGGAGGAGGAGGAGGAGGAGGAGGAGGAGCATGAGGAAGACACGGCGATTTCCCAGCGCGTGCACGCTCAACAAGGAATGAAGCCCTCAGATCATCCCAGGTGGACTCGAGGAGAGGCTACCAGGCTGCCCTACCTCCTCCCTCCGTCTCGCTCGCGGACGGGGCGTGGCGTCACCTGCCTTTCCAACGACGTCGCGGGTCCCCACACCCAGCCCCCCCCGGCGATGGTCTCGCACGCTTTCGTGAGGCTGTGGTGCCCCAGTGGGCGGCATCCAAGCCAGGGGAGGAAAGAACCTCCTCGCTCCTCGACCACTTTGAATCTTCGGTTTGCCAAGGGCAGGCAGGTGCGCACACGGGCCCCGTGTACCCGGTGCGCCGTTCTGCTCGGCGGGGCATCTGGGGTGGCATGGGTAGTTTCTAAAATTGAATTCTTGGATCTGGTCGTCATCTTTGCCCTTGCTCTCTTCCATCTCTCCCTCCTTGACTGGAGGTGGACACTCCTCCTCCCCCTCATTTCCTCCCCCTCTCCGCTCCCCTCCTCTTCCTCCTCTCACTTGTCCTTGTACTATCTCTCCTTCCCCATTCCCCCCTCCTCCTGTTGCACCTTTTCCCCTCCCTCACCTCCTCAGCCTCCTCCACAGGAGATCGAGTGCTGCCTGGACTACGAGTGCGAGGGCTGCAGCGGGGAGCAGTGCACGTACTGCCGCAGAGATCACCAGAAGGGTTGTTGCCTTGGCAAGTGGATGGCGAAGTACTCGGGGAAGTGTGACGATGTGAGCCTCCCAGACTACGAGAGTTGCCCAAAATGCGGACCTTCTCCGTGTCCCAACTGCACCCAGGCCATGGACATTGATGCGTGCCTGGACGATGCATGCCGGGGCTGCAGCGGGGAGCAGTGCACGTATTGTCGCAAGGAGTACGCCACCGTCCAGGGTTGTTGTCTTGGCAAGTGGGCGGCGTCGTACACGGGCAAGTGCGACGATGTAAGCATTCCCGATTATCTGAGTTGCGGCAAGTGCGGCGGGGAGCCATGCCCCATTTGCGTTCAGCAGAGGGACGTGCAATTCTGCCAGCAGAAGTGCAGCGGGTGCAGCGGCGAGCAGTGCACGTACTGCAGGGAGGAGTGCTGCAAGGGGAAGAGCTTCGCCGAGTACATCCCCGAGTGCGAGTAGACCGCAGCGCCCCGCTCTCGCCTCTCCCTCGTCCTCGGCACGGCCTTTTTTGTGGGAGGTTGTGCGGTGAGAGCGAAGTCAACCAGGAGGTCGGTTTCGGTTCCAGCTCGTGCTGGGCGTGAGGGCAATGTGAAGCTGCACGGGGGCGACGATGCGTCGGCAAAGGGTAGGGAAGTCGGGCAGCATGCCTCGCCCTCTGGCATGGTAGGGCGGGGGGGGAGGTTCCGTAAGTTGTCCCGTGGTCGTCCCGTGGGTTGCCCCGCGGATGCCAAGTTCATGTGTCCCGTGGGTTGTCCCGTGTGTGTCCCGCGGTTGTCCCGTGGGTTGTCCCGTGGGGTGTCATTTGATTTGCTCGTTGTTTATCCGTGGTTGTCCGGTGGTTTGTCCCGTGGTGGTCCGGTAGGTCGCCCGCGGGTGTTTTGTGGTTCTCCCGTGAGTTTTCCCTTGGGTTTTTCCGTAGGATTTCCCGTAGTTGCTCCGTAGGTTGTCCCGTGGGTTGTCTGTTGTTTCCCTCTGGTTGTCCCGTACGTTGTCCCGTGATTGTCCCGTAGGCTGCCCCGTGGTTTGTTTTGTGGGGTGTTCCGTGGTTGTTCCGTGGTTTACGTGTTGGGATTACGAGGTAGTGAGATCAGTGGATTGGGATATTGTTGTTTTTGTTCTGCCAGCTTGGGTTCCTGACAGTCAGTTGGTGCGATGTGTGTGGTGCAATCTATGAAGTTCTAGATTTGCGGTGGAACATCCGTGGTGAAATTCGCATGCCAACTCGTGAATTGTGAGCCCCACTGCTCGCGCAATCATCCCACCCTGCCACTCGCAATTTGTTCGGCAACGCCCATGCGGCCACGATTGCTGTTGCCGATTGCACTTGCTAGCGCATCTCTGCGGCCACGATGGCGCGCGAACGCTCGCGCGACCAGCTGGTTTGGCACAACTGACGCGGCCGCCATGGCGCTTGCCGGTGAGAGCTTCCCAGCGCGTCTCACAGGCCACGCTGGCGCGCGGGCGCTTCAGTGCAGCTCGTTGACTCGGGCGGGCGTTGCATCATGGTGACGTCGAGAACGGCGCAAGCGATGCTGATAGTAATCGTGGTAGTGGCGATGATGACGATGACAACAGCGAAGCCAATGTGCCGATGTTGGTGACGACGATGTCGATGATGGGTCATGCGTCGGTGATCAAGGTGATTGTGCCGTTGATCGGGGCAACGGCGATTGGCGGTGACAGTGACGGCGGTGATGCGATGGCGCGCGTGAGGGTGATGGTCGGAAAAAAACACGCGCAGCAATTCAATACATTTGGAGGGCTTTCTCTTGAAACGCATGTGGCAGATCCATCTGCTCTTGAGAAGTTGTGCCTTGAGCTGCTTCTGGCGCCATTGGTTTTCACATGCATTGTTGACGCTTCGCGTATCCCCACCAGCACTCCCTGGATTGCACGCTGGCTCTGACGCCCTAGGACGCTGCTGCTTGCCGCTTGACCGCGGCCTCGCGCGCGCCCGCCGCTAGTCGCGGCCGCAGCCCGCCCGCGACCGCCCGCCGCTGGCGCTTCCGGCTGCGGCTGTAAACAAAAAAAAATCCCCACCAGCCCGCCGAGGCGCTGCTGAGGTCGCCGGCCCGTCGGCATTAGGCAATTCGGCTCTTGCGCGGCCCGCTCGGACCTCACTCGCCGCTGGCGCCCTCGCCTGCGGCTGCGACAAAAAAGTATCCCCACCAGCCCATCCAGAAACGATGCCCAGGGGAGTTGAGGTGATCATGGAAGTGGGGGAGCATGCAGATGAACAAGAGGCGGGGGAAGCCGTCATATACCCCAAGAGGGGGAGGATTGATGACGATTCGTCGTCGCAGGAGGAGGAGGGGGGAGGAGAAGAGGAGGAGGAGGAGGAGGCGGAGGAGGAGGAGGTGGAGTATGGCGAGGACGAGGACGAGAAGGAGGAGACGAAGGAAAAGGAGGGAGAGTTGGGTGCCTCGGGGATTGTCTTGAGGCCTCGTACGTGGCCTCTTGGGAGCATCTTGGAGGCCTCTTGGGCCGTCTGGGCGCCTCTCGGGGCCCTCTTGGGGCGCTCTTGGGACTCTAGGGGCGCTCTTGAGGCCATCTTGGAGGACATCGATCAAACGAGGGGAGCTCCAATCTACCTCCCCTCTCGGGAGCATCGAACATCGCCTCCTGGACCCCTCTTGGAGCGCTCTTGGGGCGCTCTTGGGCGCTCTTGGGGCCGTCTTGGGGCTCTCTTGGGCATCTCCTGGGGCTCTCTGTGGCCAACTTAGAGCCATCTTGAGGCCTCGGATGGCCATCGGAAGCGACAATGCGAGACCGCAACCGTAATTGATGTCCCGTAGGTGTTTGAAGGAATTTGTCTTCTTGAGGGCCTCCTTGGAGGTCTCGGAGGCCTCTTGGAGCCGTCTTGGAACGTTCTTGGGGCTTCTTGGAGCATCTTGGGAGCTTTCTTGAGGCATCCTGCGCTATCTTGAGCCAGCTTGGCTGTCATCTTAGGCTTTCTGAGGCGCACTTGGAGCCGTCTTGGGCCATTTTGGACGCTCCAATTGCCCGCGATCACCTCCGTCTAGGTCCAGGGGGAGGGGGGAGGGGTAAACCCTTCCCCCAAGGGGAAGGAGAGGGTTGGAAGAGGAGCCTCCCTGGACCACCTCCGCCCAGAGGGCTGGTGGGATTCGACACGCGCGCGTGGCGGTGCGCGCGCGGGACCCGCGCGTTATCATTTGATATGGGTTCGTTCGTTGGGCGCATGCTAGATCAACGCAGGTGCACCCAGAGGTACGATGAGCGCGTGGGTTCTGGACGGGATGGCGGAACACAAGGATTTCAGCAAGTGTGCGCGGGCAGGAATTGCGGAACCATTAGGTCATTGAAGTGTTTATGTTGACATGCGTGCATGCGCAATCTGTTTGGAATGATTTCGGCGCGTGCGCGCGCGTGTGGATTTTCTACCATTCTGACCGTGTGCTCTTGTCATGTGCTCTAAACACATCGACCACGTTTGGACAGAATGTGTACAGAGTCACTAACAACTAGTACGTTGTAGTATGTTTGTGTAGGACGTTTGTGCCGATCGGTGGCATCGTATTGTCCGAATTGTTCGTCATCGTTGGTAGGTGCGCGATGCTAATGGGATAATTTCGACATGCGCGCGCGCGTGGTCCGCATGGTGCCCTCTGGCGCAGTGGGAAGCACAATGGCCTTGGTGTGACTTCATTGAGTCCGCGCACGCTAGAATCTGCTGACACTGTCATTGAAAGCCAAATGGCGTTTGATCGGTGTTGTTCGGAACGGCGCAGCGACGAATGCTTTTGCGAAATGTGTTGCTTGTGCGCTCGCATGTGCCCCCGCATGGTATTACTCGTCACAAGTTCATACACCACGCACTAGATACATCAACGCGTGTGCACCGCACTGTTCTGTTTGAAATGATGAAGGGTAGGCAGATTGTGTCGGCTGGCGTGGTATAGCTTCAGACTTGAGCGAGCGGGCACGCCGGATAAATAGGAGACTGTGCGGAGGTGTGGGGATAACCCAGGCTTTGGCAGGGGATGTGATTCAGGAATCGATGTGGGTTATTGTTGGTGCTGCAATATATGGGGTGCCATTTCCGTAGTGGAACTTATGTTTCGCAGTCCCATGTGGTACATAATAAGTGGCGTCATCAGTTTTGCAGGCAGACGGTGTAAACTCCAATGCTCGCGCAAGCATCCCACCCTCCTACCCGCAACTTGTTTGGCAAAGCCCATTCCGCTAGGATTGCGGCTTCCGATTTGAACTCGCTATCGGGCCTCTACGTCTGCAATAGCACGCGCACGCTGGCGCGCACGTGGCTTGGTTTGGGTGACATTCTTTTTACATTTCAAAAGAATATCCGCGCAATATAGATGTGAAAAAGGTCTACCCCAAAGGGGCGCCGGTAACCCCAGAGTTAGGTCCGCGGCGGAGCCTGCCCTTGGGAGAAAAAATATTTATGGGCCCCTCTCTCTGGTACAAAATATGGGGGTGCAACCCACTCTGCTGAACTTGAATTCGTCATCTCCACTGCTCGCGCAAACATCCCACCCACCCACCCGCAACTTGGTTTGCAAAACCTCTTAAGACCGACTACGACGACACCGACGACAACGACTAGGACGACACCGACGACGTCTCCGACGCCTTCAACGACGACAACGACGCCGACGCCGACGACGACGAAGACGACGACGACGACGCCAACGAAGGCGACGACGAGGGAGGAGGAAGGACGACGACGGCGACAACGACGACAACGACGACAACGACGAGGGAGGAGGGAGGACGGCGACGACGCGAACGACGACGAAGGAGGAAGGACGGCGACGCCGACGACGACAACGACGAGGGAGGAGGGAAGACGACGACGACGACGACGACGACGACGGCGACGAAATAGGAGGGACGACGACGAGACGCCGACGACGGACGACGACGACGACGTGGGAGGAGGAGGAAGGACGACCACGGCGACAACGACGACGGAAACGACCACGACGCCAAAGAGGACGACGACGACGAACACGAGAAAAGACAGAGGACGACGTAGGCGACGACGACGACAACGCGGGAGGAGGGAGGACGGCGACGACGACGACGACGACGCAGGAGCGCGCGCGCACGCTTTTGTTGACAATCCGTGTTGCGAAACCTTGGGTTTTTGTATGCTTTTTGGACACACGATTTTGAAATCCTTCCGAAACCGATGGGTTTTGAAGGTTTGCGGCGTACGCCCGCGACGACGCGCGCGTCTGCACTTCGTCTTGTTTTTTGCAGGGGATTCTCGCGACGGCACACGCGCAAGGGCGTTCGACAGATTTCGACATGCGCGCGCGCGAAGCCCGTGTGGTAGCATTGTGTATAAATCTTGAAAAAACCTATGGTTTTCTTAAGATTTCGCAAGAGCTTTCGCGGAAGTTTTTTTAGCAAATAAATGTTGCGAAACCATGTGTTTTGGTATATATGTTTTTGGAAACTCGATTGCGAAATCCTTCCAGCACCGAAGGTTTTTGAAGGATTTCGGCATGTGCGCGCGACGACGCGCGCGTGTGCACTTCGTCTTTTTTTGCAAGGGATTCGCGAAACAGTGCTATGTTAGAACAAAAAATGTCACCGCATAATGTTTTTTACAAGGGAACCTCAGGGGGGGGGAACCCGGCCTGCCTGGGATGGTATGATTTCAAATTTAAGATGGGCGAATGTACAGAAAATATATGAAATCATACTATCCCAGGGGGAAGCGATCAGTCCGGGGGGGTGGGTAG